ATATATATCAGAAATATACACCTTGCTTTTGACTTGTGGTTAAACAAAATATATAATTAATAAGACAGATCTGCACAATAACTAATTTGTTGTACAACCTTTTGTGGCAATCGCTGCATTCATATTATTTCTGTAAATCTCTCTGAGACTTATACACTTGTCCACATATGTTCTGATAATAGGCAAACTACTCCAGTTGTCTCAGATTTGAAGGGTGCCTTCTCCAGATGTTTCAGCTYCTTCCACAGATGTTCAATAGGATTTAGATAAAGACTCAAAAGGCACAGTCCAGTGTTCAGTTGTGTGTGTTTTGGGTTATTATCATGTTGGAAGACCAATGACCTGCAAATGATACCAAGCTTTCTAACACTGAGCAGCACATTTCTCTCTAGAATCCCTTGATAGTCTTTAGGTTTCATTGTACCCTGCTCAGATTCACGACACCCTGTGCCATATGCAGCATTGCAGCCCCAGAACATAACATAGCCTCCTCTTTTAGAAGATTTGCAGCGTTTTACTTTGTATTGTGGAAGATCACAGTCTGACTTTTTACGATCTGGTGTCCTCTTAAGCTGTCTTTCTTTAACTCTGACTCAAACAGTGACCCATAGTGCAATCTGAGACTGACGTACCTTGATCTTGGAGTTCACCTTTAATATACTTGGAGGTTGTTCTGGACTGTTTGGTCACCATTTATATTCTCCTTCTCTTTGATTTGTCATTAATTTTCTTCCTGTAGCCATGACCAGCGAGGTTGGCTTCAGTTCTGTGGAACATAAATGTCTAAATATTCTGTACAGCTGTAGTCATAGACATCAAGCTGCTTGGAGATAGCTTTTAACTTTTAGATGCTTCTCTATAATTTTCTTTCTAATTTCCTTGAACAATTTCTACTTGGTTTACTTTGGTCCCTGTTCAGTACGGTAGCCTACACACCATGTCACCAGACAGCATAGTGACTCTTTATAGYATCTTTTCTGTTGGGCTCCTGGCTTCTCTCATCACATTCAAAGATCAAGAACCTCAGTAACAGGATAACTGTGGTTGTTGTGCTGTTTCAAAATGAATTACGAGAAATTATTTAAAAAAAAAACTCCACCATGAGCTGCAAGAAAAGTGCTTAAAACAATTTTGTAATTGTTTATGAGAACAGCAAGGTGTTCCTGAAGAGGAAAGATTTTGTTAGAGACAGATTAATGTTGGTGTTTCCATGGAAGTTGCACGGAGTGAGGTGTGTGTGTGTAGGTGGGCCCATGTTTTTTACTACTTGGTGGGGACAATCTTTCAGGAAAACGCAGTCTCATGTGGATCAAATGCTCCTTGTGGGGACCAAAGCCTGGTCTACACAACTTCAGAGGCTGATTTTGGGTGGGGTGGGGGGGTTAGGTTTAGGACCAAGGTGTGAATTAAGTTCATGCTAGATTTAGGGTCAGGCATTTACTGGAGTGGTTAACTTTAGAGTAATGGCTCATTGTTAGGCTATATAAATGATCAGTAAATGAATGGAAGACAATGGAAAGTCCCCACAAAGATAGAGAAACATAGCTGGTGTGTGAGTGTGTGTGTGTGTGTGTGTGTGTGTGTGGGGGGGGGGGTCCTCCCCCAAATCAAAACATGGATTGATTAGTAACTACAAATTGTCTCTACTGTAGGTGTTAGTGAGAGAGTGAATGTTTGTTTGTCTCATTTGTCTCTATGTGTCTCTGTGATGAACTGGAGAAATGTCCAGGCTGTCCCTTCTCTTTCACAGTGTGCTGAGTGGTGATACAGGTAAAAACAAATATTAAAAACAGTTTAACAGGATTTTTAACAAAGTTTTAACGTTTTTTTTTGTCCCTTCCTCAGGGGTCGCCACATCAAATAAACTAACATGAAGGTTTGTCTTTTGTTTTTTATGCTCTTCCTGAATCACCTGCAGCCCACGTGTGTGGATCAGGGAGCTGGGAGCTCAGGGGAGCAGATGGGAGGGGTTAGAGGCCTTGCTCCTGGATTAAAAGTGGAGCCCATGAAGTGGAGGAAAACATRGGAGAGGGAACAGACGACCTTCTCTAACTTCTGTGCCACCACTCCACTTTGTTCCACTTCAATAATATCAGTGATCCTCTACTAGTTACCGCTTTAACATCTGCAGCCACATCTGGACTTTAAGTCCAATCAGAAAGTGTCTCAGATTCCATTTGTTTTATTTTCATACATGTGTCCAAAGTTTAGACTATTACCATTTATTGTACAAAGACACATTCATTTTATTTGTTTACTGTTGAACTTTATTCCGAATTACATGCTTATTTAAATTATAATTTACCATCACTAAACGCAACAATAATAATCAATAATTTATAGACAGACTGATTTTCATTCCAGTAGAAATAGTTAAACGAAGTAGTTCATAAAGGTTACAACACTTCTGCTTTGTCTCACCCTCATCTGGTTTCCTGTTGTTAAAGATTGAAGGAGTGTCACACAGATCCGCACTCTTTCACTCAGTCCATGAGATATAACCTTTTGCTGATACAACCATTTGCTGATAAGAATTCAGTCAAAACAAACACGTTTTAAACAACTAAAAGAAGCACAAAGAGGACAAGATGAGAGGCTCTGGTCTTGTTTGTGTTAAATAAATCGTCCGATCCCTGCCGGCCCAGGTGGAGAGGATGGAGCTCTGATGTTGTGAGACTTTCAGCTGGAAACCAGATGTTCAGGTCATGAGATGGGGCAGGAGCGGTGCAGTGACTCTGTCAGGACAGCAGCTACCTGTAAAACACAACCAGAGTAGACAGCACTCATCAGTCACACGTCCACCAACACCTGATGTTCTGTGAAGGCACTGCCACTCTTCCAGGACCAGATGGGCTTCAGGACTCTCACGGGGGACTTGGACTTCTTCCTCACCTCTATTGTAAATTATTAATTGGGAAGATTTCTTAAAGTGTCACAGGTTGTAAGAAGTAATTTATGATTAGCGGTCAATGGCTGAATTTTAATTACGTCCAGGCCAGAGTTCAGAGAGCTGGAGATGGAAGCAGTTCATTAATCACCAACTAGCAGACTAGACCGGTACAAGAAAGGCCAATGAACATCACTTTTATCTGAATCCCTTTTAATAACTATCCTGCTGGAAACATGGGATGAAGAAAAGCCCAGGGAGAAGGAAGGCTTTTAATGGATTAAAAAAAGAAAAAACTCCACAAAGAATCTGATCAAAAGATTGACCTTAAACACATTTCAGGACTCCATCAGCTATAAAATAAAACATTCACATATAGAGAATGAGACAAAATGTTGACTTAAATTTAAGGCTAACAATCATTAAACTCATTATGCACAATTTTATGCATTATTATTTTCAAAYGATGTTTTGTGAGGGTCTGTCAGCTTCTACCACATCATATTTGACCACAATTTCTCCAAAACTGACAATTAGGTTAACTTTTAAAAATAATCTCTTTTGGAGGTACACCAAATGAGTCTTTCCTGAAATTTTCAATCTTTCCAGCAGTTCATGAGATATTTTGCTGACAACCGGACTGAGTTGACTGCAGTTATAGTCAACATTATAAACAAAGATCCAGTACAACCTGTCAGCTCTCAGAATACAGATGGTGTTGAAGATAACTCTGTTACATCTTCACCATATTTTGAGGTCAATCATTTGTTGTGTTTACTTTCAGTTGTCTGATAACTGTCCTGAATCAAATGCACTCCTAAAGTTAAACCCTCATACATTGAAAGAGTACTAATTAAACAATTCATTCAGTGGTTTATGAGATCACCTGACTTATTGGTTTTGATGCTGTGGTTCTTAGGTGTCGTGTTATGTGTATGTGAAGAGTGCAGGCGGTGCTCGACGTCCCCTTGTTTTTGTATTTTTTCCCCTCTTTATGTTGGCTATCATTGGGACCCTGATTCACACCTTTTGCTCACAGGGGTCTGAGTAATACTTGCATTAACAGCATTGTAGGAGGAGGACAACTGGGCAAGAAGACCTCCACCTCTGTTTAATGGTGGACATTTTTTCTTCACAAAGATGGCTTCCTTTACTCCTGTCTCAAACCAATGTTCCTCTCTAACAAGGATGAGAACATTTTCATCCCTGAAAGAGTGACCACTGGCTTGTAGATTAGTGTAAATTGCAGAGTCCTGACCCGACGATGTAGCTTGTCTGTGCTGGCTCATTCTTTTGAACAGTGGCTGTTTTGTTTCCCCCCAATGTAAGACTGATCACAGTCCTCCTGACACTTAACAGCATATACTATATTACTCTGTTTTTGCCGGGGAACTGGATCTTTGGGGTGAACTAATATTTGTTGCAACATGTTTTGGGGTTTGAAAGCCACTGGGACATCCTGTTTAGAGAATAAACGTTTCAGCTTCTCTGAAACTCCTGCCACATATGGAATGACGACTGGTTTGGGTCTGGGTTTAGGGTCTTCATTTTCACCTGGTTGTTGGCTGGAATCTTGTTTGGGTTTCTTGTCTGCTTTCAGAAAAGTCCAGTTAGGATAACCATTTTTCTGCCTATAGTATTGCCCCCATATGTGAAATAGGTTGATTCCAGGCTTTATGAGATATACTTTGCATTGACTTCCATTCATTTAACAATCATTTCTATAGCCTAACTCTGACCCTTTGCCCTAAACCTAACCTCATTGCTCAATACTCAATTTAAACTCAATTTACATCTTAGTCCTAAAGCAATCCCCTGATCCACCAAAGGCATTTCCCCCAATGGGGAACAGACTTTTGTCCCCAAAAGGAACAGTGGGTCCTCACCAGGCTGTGTGCCAGGAAAATGGTCAAAAATGGTACCCACCAGGTAACAAAAACATGTACACACACCCAATCTCTCTCTCTCTCTCTCTCTCTCTCTCTCTCTCTCTCTCTCTCTCTCTCTCTCTCTAAGATGCATATAAAAACATTTTCGAGCTAATCAATTAACCCTGTCGGTTCATTACTTAACAATAAATAATCAATCATTTAGTTTTTTTATTTGCCTTTAATATTTACATCATAATGAGCCATCTATCAGAATGTAATAATTACACAATAATTAACTATCAGTCCCACATGTGATCCCTGCTCACTTCATTAGTAACACATCATCATGTAACCATTAACTAAAATATGATCAGCAGTTCATCATTACATGACAGTCAACAAGAAATTAGTCCTTCATTATTCTCTGTTTTGATTCCATGACACCAAGACAATTTTCTATTGTAACTTGTTATTTCAAACATAACTACAATAAATAAATCTGAGTTCTGTGCAATGGAACTAGAACACTGCCATAAGAATTTTTTTTAGTTTGGTTAAGATAAGCAGGCACATGGGCCAATATGTGACAGAAGCACAGAAAGTCATTGGTAAAAATACCAGAGGAGTCAAACACCAAATACTGGTTGACAGATCAGTCACTCATGACTATAAAGCCAGACAAAACAGTGCACTGTCTGGATTTATTACAAGAAAGCCTACGACTCAATGTCACACACATGGATCTTGGAATGCCTAAAGCTCTACAATGTAAAAAAAAACACTCTGAAGGCCTTCATTGTCAACTCCATGAGACTTTGGAAAACCACCATTGAGGCCAATCGCAAGCCACTTGTTCAAATCTCCACATATGTGGATTATACCAAGGAGATGCTCTGTCCCCACTGCTGTTCTGCATAGTCTTGAACCACATCAGCCAAATAACCAACAAGACTGGCTATGGATACACACTTAGAAATGGGCCCACTGTCACTCACTTCCTCTGCATGGATGCCATAAAGCTGAATGCTAAGAGTGGGTGAGACATTGACTCACTGATTCACACCACCAGGATCTACAGCAGCGACATCAGAATGTCTTTCGGGCTGGAGAAATGTGGCCGAATGGTAATGAAGAAAGGGAAGGTAATACAAATGGAGGGAATTGCACTCCCAGAAGGAAGAATAACAGATGTTAAGGAGAGCTACAAGCACCATGGAATACGACAGGTAAAAGGCAACTGCAAAGAGGCCAGAAGGAAAACAGCTATACCTGCAACAAGTAAGGCAAGTTCTGAAAAGTCAGCTCAATGGCAAAAACAAGGTCTGGGCAATCAACAGCTATGCCTTGTCAGTAATCAGATACCGTGCTGGGATAATAAGCTGGCTAAAGGAGGAAACAGGAAAGTTACTCACCATGCGTGGTAGATTCCAACTCAAATCCAGTATTAACAGGCAACACACTAAGCACAAAAAAGAGTCAGAGACCTAGTAAACATCAGAGCTACCATCTAAGATGAAATATCCAAGCTCAATGAATACATCAGGAAGATGGCCTCAAAACACAAAGCACTCAATGAATGTCTCAGACAATGGAAACTGGAAGAGAAGGTGCTGAAGGAAACACCTTGGAAGGAAAACAAACACTGCATGGTATTTGCCACCGACAGAAAGCTGAAGTGGTTGATGTGACCAAATCCTACTAATGTCAGGAGAGGGCAGGACTGAAAGACAGCACAGAAGCACTGAGCATGGCAACACAGGAGCAGGCCTTGAGCACCAGAGCAATTGAGTCCCAGATCTACCATACCAGGCAAGATCCCAGTTTCAGGCTGTGCAAAGAAGATCCAGAAACAATCCAGCATCTCACAGCAGAGTGTAAGATACTAGCAGGAAAGAAATACATGGACTGTGAAAACCAAGTGGCTGGTATGGTGTGCAGAAACATCTGTGCAGAGTACAAACTGGAGATCCTTAGATCAAAGTGGGAATCACCTCCCAAGTTGGTGGAGAATGGTCAAGCTAAAATTCTGTGGGACTTCCGGATTCAAACAGACAAGATGGTAATGTCCAACCAAACAGACATTGTGATCATTGATAAGTAGCAGAGGACAGCCATTGTGACTGATGTGGCCATCCCCAATCATGGAAACGCCAAGAAACAGGAACATGTGAAACTGGTGAAATACAAAGGACTCAGATATGAGCTAGAAAGAGCCTGGCAGGTGAAGGGTAATTGTTGTGCCCATGGTCATTGGGGCACTCCGGGCATTGACCCCCATGCTGGAGAAGTGATTCCAACAGATATCTGGAGAAACATCTGACATCTCAGTCCAGAAAAGTGCAGTCCTAGGAACAGCTAAGTTATTATGAAGAACACTCAAGTTCCCAGACCTCTAGCAGAGGACCTAAAGTTGATAAAGTTGGTAGAGCTGTTGCAAGAAGGTTGCTAAATAGTATCCTGGCGGGGGACCTTTCTGGGTAGAGTTTGCATGTTCTCCCTGTGCATGTGTGGGTTTTCTCCAGGTACTCCAGTTTCCTCCCACAGAACAAAAAACATTACTTACACTAATTGGTGACTCTAAATTGTCCCTAGTTGTCTCATTTTTCTCTGTGTGGACCTGTAATGTCCTGGAGACATGTTCAGTGTGTACCTCGCCTCTTGCACTGTACTTCATTAAAACAAAAAGTGACAAAATGTGTGTTTGGAAAATATTTATCTGTTGTAACAATGCGTCTTGGCATTAAATCTTATATCATTGGATAGCCTGTTTATTTCCCTTTTGTTTGGTGCCACATTTGTAAGGAACATGCATTTGTGAGGATGAGCAGCATAGCCGGGTAAGTGGGTTGTGCACTTGAAAAATTTGTCATATATACTATACTGTATGTAATACAATTGTTAACATTGTTAAAATAATMTGAACACTGCTGATCCTTAAAACCAAATTCAGTCTCCATGGCAATATAAAGTTGATATTTTTAATGCAAAATCTTTAA